AAAAAAGACAAAAAGGAAAAAAAAAAAATCATGCACACATAAATAAATTCATAGTGATAGAAAGGCAGTCAGAAGCTGGTGAGACCCTTGGGCTGACTGGCCACACACCTGTCCTGGCCACTCAGAAAAACTAAAAACACATTTGTTTCTAACCACCCACACCAGCACACAGAGGGTACCAGAACGAGCGGCTCCCGCTCCCAGACAGTGGGGCAGCTGCTCTGACTGGAACAGAGTAGCTTACAGAGTAGTGAGTTCCCTGTCCCTGAGGGAGTTCAAGCAAAGGCTGGGTGACCACCAGAGGTGGTTGGCAGAGTTCCTGTACTTAGAAAACCTCTGCATTCCCCCACCCTGGAGATCCACCCAAGAGGGGACACACCACTCAGGGCTGGGCGGGGAGCGGAGCAGGTCGGCACCCTGCAGCCAGGCCAGGTGGGCAGGTGTGCGGGGAGGCAGCCGGCCCAGCTCCTCCCTGGCCGCCCTCTCTGCACGGCGGCTCATCCAGCCCTCCCCTGCGCCCAGCGGTGAGCCAGTTCTTCAACGCCAGCTGCGTGCCCGTGAACAACCCCAAGAACTACCCGGCCTCGCTGTGCGCGCTGTGCGTGGGGGACGAGCAGGGCCGCAACAAGTGCATGGGCAACAGCCAGGAGAGGTACTACGGCTACAGCGGCGCCTTCAGGTGCGTGGCAGCGGCCAGTGGGTGGGCTGGAGCTGGGACCAGGGCAGAGGCAGGGAGCCTCCTTCCAACACCTGCCCCATCCTCTTGTGTGACAGGTGCCTGGTGGAGAACGCGGGGGACGTGGCCTTTGTCAAGCACACGACTGTCTTCGACAACACAAATGGTAGGTGAAGGGGGTTGGGCCACATTGGGGGAGCTGATCCCCATCCCCAACACAATTTAGACACTGGGTGTTGCTGGCTTGGGGACCAAGTGGCAAACAGGAGAGACTGAGTCTAGAAGGTTCTGCATCCTGGGCAACCTGGGGCCCTAAGGGCCATACAGCAAGGACAGACCTTAGGCCACATATGAGGTGTTCAGGACACATGACGGTCTCCTCTGGTCTGGAATTTAAGTTCCTATTCCACCTAAATGGTAGAAACTCAAGCTCAGTCCATTTGGAGAGATTTATGTAGTGCCAGGGTGTGTGGTGGGGGTGGCAGGGGTCGTCAGTTCACATCAGCATCTCGTCTGAGGTCTTGAGCAGGTCAATACTCCATGCAGGGAAATCATTCTGCAGCTCCAAAACCAGGTCAAGGTAGGGCACACCCCAGACACATTACACCGGTGTTTTTTTTCTCTGGAACCACCTTCCTGGGCTCCACCTGGGAAAAAGAGCCCATGAGTGCTCTGCTTCAGGACCCCCAAACCTGCATCTGAGGTCCTATCAGAGCACGGGGCACCTTAGCTCACATCACCCCCACTTCCTGTCCTCCAGCAAGGAATCTGTGACCATTTTGAAGACTTGTGGCTGTTTCCCTCAAGCACATACTGCTCATACTTTCTGTGTCCCCTGCCTCCACCCCAGGTTCTGAAACCCCAAACACTGGAGGCTCAGTCTTCTCCACTCTCTCCCAACATATCTTTGCCTACAGACTCAGCCCAGAAAGGCCCAGAGATTGGTCAAGGAGAAGTAAGACATGCAGGAAGAAAACGTCAGTTAGTGTTTCAAAACTTGGATCCCACCTGCCTGTGGTAGTTCTTGCCCATAGCATTAGCACAGCTGGGTTCTCTCGCCCTGGTAGAGTACTTGGAGAATGGAGAGGGTGGGGAGCTGGCCAGATATTGCTACCTCCCCACAGTGGAGGGCTTTAGGGGCTCAGGGGGATAGCAGCCTCACTCTACACTTCCCCCCACTGCTCTACCCCTCAGGCCACAATTCTGAGCCCTGGGCTGCTGAGCTCAGGTCAGAGGACTATGAACTGCTGTGCCCCAATGGGGCACGGGCCGAGGTGTCCCAGTTCTCAGCCTGCAACCTGGCACAGATACCATCCCATGCCGTCATGGTCCGGCCGGACACCAACATCTTCACTGTGTATGGACTGCTGGACAAGGCCCAGGTGAGCCAGCGCAGGGGCTGCCTCATTGAGGGGTGGGCAGCAGAAGTGAGCCAAGCCCCCAGGGGGGCCTCGGTCTACCTGGAGCAGACCTCGGGAGAAACTGAGGAAGGCTGGGGTGATATTCTGTGATTTTCACTTACCAAAGGACATCCTCCAGCTGCTACCTCCTCTGTCTTCTGCATCATTAATTTTTCCTTCTCAGTGGACCATGTTCACCATCGTACAAGCATGCTGTGATTTCTGCTATCTTTGAAAAACAAACTGACCTTCTTGATCTCACAGGCTCTTGTAGCCATAATCCCACTCCCTTTTAGAGAAAACTCCAGAGAGGTGTCTCTCCTGGAGTTACCAATTCTTCTCCTTCTGGTCTCTCTTAAGGATGGAGACTACTCCAGACAGGCCCCCACCAGGGCC